TCTAACCGACCATCTTTATTCAAATCGAATTTTAATGTTTCGAATAATTTCATTTGAATATTCTAAAATTTGTGAAAATTATTCATTTCTTTTCATATTTGAACGCATTGTTCTTACTTCCATCTTGAATATTGCTTGATCTCCGCATCGTTTAAAATTTGTTGAAAATATATACTTGTCGTAAAGCAGATCAATCGAATACTCTCTTCCACCACGATGAGCACCTATACCCAGGTCAACAAATCCGACGTTGGATCCTATGAGAACCGATCGGATTCCGACTGGAAAAATCCAGCCATTTGTTGCAAATTTTATGAGCGTTATTTTTAGCTAGGTTCTATAATGACCCTTAGAAAATCCATAAAATCCGTGTTTCGGATCCGACAGAAACCGATATAGGATCCAATCGGATCCGAGTATGGGATTTGTCCACCTGGGTAGCAAGAACGTCGCGATCAATCTTTCAAAAAGAAGGTCGAATACATTTGGTGAAAATTATTCATCTTTGTCTTACGGATGATTCAACACTGAGAAAGTTCTCTTCCATTAAATACGTGTATAAGAATCTCGCTGTCAATTGAAATTTCGCTTGAGAATGATGTGACGTCATGTTCAGTAAATCTGAGAATGAAACGATATTTTAATGCACATGAATTGTATGAAAAAATTGTCTAGTACGGAAAAGATGACTAAGGAGATATGAGGCAAACTATGGACTTATCCATTCTGACGTCATTTTCTTTTTGTTTAAGTCACTACACGCTATGTGTCGACGGACTGAAATGACTCGCTGCTATACTTCTTGTGACGAATTAAATTCTTTCTCTCTTTTCATTTCTGTCCATCTTTTACATTTGAATACGCAGAACAAGTGAATTCTATTGTATAGGACATAAGATAACCGTTTTTTTTCTTTACTAAGTACATTCGGTAACAAAATCCAGGTCCATGAATTCTATATTCGAATCCGATCGGATATAATATCGATTTTCATAGATTCAGCCAGATGGATCACATAGTTGAGCTTGAAACCATAATAGAATATAGATAAAACTAATTCTCATTTAATTTGTCGCATTTGACTGGAGCTTTGTCGACGAAATCCAAGACAAATCGGTCAGCACAAGATTCACCGGATTTTATCGGACGATCGAGAAAACATCCTCTTTCGTATATCACCGAACCAAATATTTTACCGATTTCAGAACTCCGTACTCGTAGCACAATTCCACACACAACTACTATCCTTACCTATTAATCAATAATTGCAGTGATTTATTGCTTCAATCAAGTCGATTTATTTCAAATGATACAATTCATTATGGAATAGATATTTTACAACAATAAAAAACAGGTCTATACTTTTTGTCTGTGTTTTTCAAAATATTCGTGTAAACAACTTGATCGTTTTGTATCACCATGTAAAACCAATTTATTTATTTTAGCACAATTAATTCGTGTTTCATCTCCTGTGAAATGACGTGTCACTCGTTCTAAAGACGTATACTTGACACAAAGAGTCGTACCTTGA